GCTGCTCCGTTAAACACAGCTGTGTGCTCACGGTGCAGTGTGGGTCCCTGCTGCCGCCCGGCTCCATTGCACCGCGGCCTGAGCACTTCTGGGCAGCGCTTACAGAGAGCAGGTTTATTTGTGAGCTGTCAGTACCACAGGACAGGGTTGTCCCGAAGCTGCAGGGCCCCAGGGCGCTCCAGAAGGAGCCCGGCACTCTTATCGAGTGCTGTGGGCCTGGGCTTCAGTGGGATGTGAAGTGGGTCTGGGTGTGAGAGCCTCTGGTGTAAAAGATCCGGAGTGCATAAGTGGTCTCGTTGGGACAGAGTTAATGAAAAGGTTGATCTGCGAGAGAGGAGCTGAGGAGGAAGTCTCGGTGTTCTGAGAGAACGAGAAAGCCTAGACTGGCAGTTACCTTGCTGCCTTTTTATTGTCGGTGCGATGACGTCTCCGAGGGGCCCAGGAGAGGCATCTGGGCTGTGATTAATGCAGCTGCTGATGTATTATTAACCTGACTTAATCACTGAGAACGCGGTATTGGGAAGAAATGCTGCGTTTTACAACGTTCCTGTGTTGAGCTGTGAGCTGGGGCTGGACCGACAGAAAATTCAGTAATGTGGAGCCTTGCCTGAAGCCCCTGGGGGTTTGATACCCCCTTTGTGCGCAGGAACGGGCTGGTTTGCTGTGTCTGCCCGAGGGGAGCACTGGGAGCTTTCACTCCGGGCAGCACAGGAACAGAACGGAGACTGGAGCGAGGGAGCAGCAGAGGCGGATCCGTTCTGCTCAGTCCCCAGTGCTGCTCGCAGCGGAGCGGCTCAGCGCCGTGTTCGGGGGGAGCAGCCGAGCGCGCGGTGCGGGCGAAGGGGAAGCCGAGCCGGGCCCGCTCCCAGCGCCTGCCTTCTCCGCAGGTGCTGTTGGCAGCGGCCGTCTGCACGAAGGCGGGGAAGGCCATCGTGTCGCGGCAGTTTGTGGAGATGACGCGCACCCGCATCGAGGGGCTGCTGGCGGCCTTCCCCAAGCTGATGAACACGGGCAAGCAGCACACGTTCGTGGAGACGGAGAGCGTGCGCTACGTGTACCAGCCGATGGAGAAGCTCTACATGGTGCTGATCACCACCAAGAACAGCAACATCCTGGAGGACCTGGAGACGCTGCGCCTCTTCTCTCGAGTGGTAAGGGGCTGTCCCGGCGTGGTTGTGAGGGAGCCTTTGCTGAGCTGGTGCTGCAGCTCTGTCTGCTGCTGCCTGGCAACGTGGCTCTCCAGAGCCGCTTCCTGGCCTGGAGGTGAGCTGTGGAGTTTGGGGGTGCTTTTGGACTGCACGTGAAGAATCTGTGGTTGCATTTCAGCTGGTGAGACCCGAGGGTCTGCGTTGCAAATTTAGCGCTGAATATTCGCTGTATTCTGAAGTAACGCCCATACTCCTTGTAGCAGGGAAGCTGTGAAGTCTGGGTGTAGTAGGAAGAGTTTGTACAATGTTGTCTGCAGTTACTCCTTGGAAATGTTTTCCCCCGATAGATTCCTGAATATTGTCGAGCTCTGGAGGAGAACGAGATCTCTGAGCACTGCTTCGACCTCATTTTTGCCTTCGATGAAATTGTTGCCCTGGGCTACCGTGAGAACGTGAACCTGGCGCAGATCCGGACCTTCACCGAGATGGACTCGCATGAGGAGAAGGTCTTCCGAGCAGTCCGAGAGGTGAGCGGGCACCGCTGCAAGCCTGGTGCGGGGTACCCTGTCTGGGACACGCTGCTCTTTTGTGCAGAGGCTTTGCTCCACCTCAGTAGGGGTCATAAAATTGCTTAGCTTTTTGGGGAACTGCACGCCCATCTTGTTTCCTTTTCCTCGTGGAGGGTTTGTGGGCAAATGCACTGGGTTCCTGTGCAGAACCACAGACTCTATCAGACTCCTGTCTTGCGCTTCAGACCCAGGAGCGCGAGGCAAAAGCCGAGATGCGCCGTAAAGCCAAGGAACTGCAGCAGGCCAGGAGGGACGCGGAGAGGCAGGGCAAGAAGGCGCCCGGGTTCGGTGGCTTCGGCAGCTCGGCCGTGTCCGGGGGCACGACGGCGGCGATGATCACGGAGACCATCATCGAAACGGAGAAGCCCAAAGTGGCGCCGGCGCCGGCCAGGTGCAGGCGCTCGTGGAGGCGGCAGCGGCCGAGAGCGGTGCCCAGAGCCGGGCTCTCTAACGTGGGTTCTTTGTCCACGCAGCCCTCCCGTTCGGTTGCTGTACAGGTACGGATCGGCGTGCCGTTGTAAAGCCCCCCGTTAGCTTTGCCGGTCGGTGCGTGTTCCCCTCCCAGCCTTCAGTGTGGGTGCTTGTGCCCCGGCGTGTGTTGCATGTTCTCGAGCCCCCCTTTGACTACCGGGGAGCGTCTGTGCTGTGTGCCACGTTAGCATCCCATAGTGTCTCTGGAGTCTTTGATGGGCCATGGGCTTCTTGGTTTGTGTGGAGAAAGGAGGGCCCAGCTGCTGGCGGTGCTGGGAACGGCACCCAGACCTGAATTACAGCTTGTGCCCTGCACATGGCACTGCCGGGTCCATGCACATTTCCCTCCTGCAGAGGTCGGGTCGGGCTGCAGCATGCGAGAGGACGCAGCAGTCTGCTGCCGTGAGCCCACTCGTAGATTCTGACGCCTTCTGTTTAGGCCTTCAGGTCCCAGTAAAGCCTTGAAACTTGGCGCCAAGGGGAAGGAGGTGGACAACTTCGTGGACAAGCTGAAGTCGGAAGGAGAAAACATCATGACGTCCGTAGGCAAGCGCTCCACGGAAGCAGCCAAAGTCCTCGCTCCTCCCGTTAACATGGAGAGGTGGGTACTGCCGCACTTCGGAAGCCGTCTCCTCACAGCTCTCGCTGTGGTGCACGGGTTGCTTTGTGAGCTCTTAAAAAAGCTCCCTAAAAGCTCTGTGTGCTTTTGGTTCTCAGAGCAGGCACTTTCTGCTGTTTGGGTCCTGTGTGCTCACTCGGGCTGTTAGGTTTTGAAGATGGTGGGCAAAAGTTGTGAAGGCACGGCAGCGAGGAAGCAGGCAGCTGATGTGGTTGGGATCAGTGGCCTGAACTAAAGCTGGGTGTTCCGTCGCTGTCCGGCTGAGACTGAGAAATTTCTTACGCCTTTTTCCCAGCGTTTTGCCTGCGGATGAGTTAAAGCAGCTGCCGCTTCCCTGTTCCCCAGACACAAAGAGTTCCTGCCTTAACGTGGCTTAAGCTGGAAGCGTTCACATCTTGTTTTACGCGTAGCAGTTCTGAACCTGGTGGTGCCCTGAGCCGCGCTGCTGTGTGTTTGGAGTGAACAGCACGTCTCGGTGCTGTGTCACTGCTGCTCGTCGGGGTTTCCATCCCTTGCAGGCTCATGTCCCTGCAGCTGCCTGCTCCTTACACATAGCCTGTCCGTGCTGAGCGCTGCTCTCTGGTCCTGCCTGGCAGATGCCAAGCACAGCCCTGACTTGTCCGCTTGCTTTCCTGTCTAGCGTGCACATGAAAATCGAGGAGAAGATTTCCTTGACGTGTGGCCGCGACGGCGGGCTGCAGAACATGGAGCTGCACGGCATGATCATGCTGCACATCTCCGACGAAAAGTTTGCACGGATTCGCCTGCACATAGAAAACGAAGACAAGAGGGGAGTGCAGCTGCAGGTAAAGACCCTTTGGTGTCCTGTGCTGTTGAACGTGCTCCTGCTGCTCCCTGGGCAGAATTTCAGAAGTACTTGAGTGTGTCACTGTCCTGCGCTCTGGTCCAAGCCTTCTCAGCCACTGGGAGTAGTCGCTGCAGACTCTACTGCAGCGTGAAGGCAGGGCCAGCCCGTGCTCAAAGGATTGAAGTTCACTCCAGAAACCCGCTCTGGTGCACTTGTCCCCGAGCCTTATCTGCGCAGCAACGCCCGCTGGCGAGCCGTCTGGTCCCGCTTGGACTTTGCAGCAGCCTGGTGCGCTGCTTAGAGCTTGCTCAGATGAGCTGAGCTTTGGTTGTGGAGTGGCAGTGTTGGAGTGCACTGACTGTGCCAGCAAGGAATTGATTTATTACCTTGGAAGCTGCTTTCTCTTGGGGTCGCTTTGTCCCGTCACGCTGTATCTGAGGCACTTGCCAGAGCCCCAGCTTGCAGTGGGTGATAGCAGCTGAGAAGCTTCTTCAGAGAGACGTCCTCCCCGTTCTCCCTCTGTGTGTGACCCTGCTGATCCCTGCAGGTCGTGCTGCTTTGTGGCAAAACTCCTCTGCTCCCAAAAGGCTCATGCTCATGCTGCTGTTGTGAGGAGAGAATATTCACGCTGAGTTTGGCTGCTGAGGGAAGTCGTGTTTCTGTGGTTTCAGAGCCTTCTTCCCAGCAGCATCGGGCTGTTTTTAGTTCAAGAGAGAACCCACTGTGGTTCTTCAGGATGCTCTTTGAGATTTTACAGGTTGCTCAAGTTGTAGTGTAGGTATCAGCCTAGGAGCCGCATTGCTGGGGTCACTGGTGTGTAAACGTGGCAGGGGCGAGGGTTCGTTGTAGCAGAGCTGCGCCTTGTGGAAGGAGTCCCAGGTCGATAAGCAGATGTGCTGCGGTTGGGCCTCTGAGCCAAAGTCAGAGCTGGTGTCTCTGGTGTCAAGGAAAACGCCCTGGGACGCGTAGGCCTGGCTCACGAGAGCCCACGTCACCTCCGTGGGGTTCCCCCTTGGGCTCAGGGTGACGGCCTGGGCGCGCGTTCCCTTTCAGACCCACCCCAACGTGGACAAGAAGCTCTTCACCGCGGAGTCGCAGATCGGTTTGAAGAACCCCGAGAAGTCGTTCCCGGTGAACAGCGACGTGGGCGTGCTGAAGTGGCGGCTGCAGACCACGGAGGAGTCCTTCATCCCGCTGACCAGTGAGTGCGAGCGTGCGGGGCTTGGCCCGTGGGCTGCTGGCCCGAGGCCTGCCTGGTGTCACCCCGAGGTGTCGGAGGCACTGCATCCCTCCCAGAGGAGGAGTACCTGTTATTCTCAGCCGTGTGTGCTTTCTCTCATGCTCTTGAAGAAATCAGAAAGCTTTTCTTCAAGTCGCAGATTGTTTGCTGCGCGTTGCCAAGCGCATCATCCTTTGAAAAGCCGTTGGCATAGACAGCCGGTGTGGCTCAGCCGCTCTTTCTGTGCCCACAGTTAACTGCTGGCCATCGGAAAGCGGGAACAGCTGCGACGTTAACATCGAGTACGAGTTGCAAGAGGAGAGCCTGGAGCTGAACGACGTGGTCATCACCATCCCCTTGCCGTAAGTAGTGCTGCTCGTCCGGGCAGCGCTGACCAGGGCCGTCCTGGATCCCGTCCTTCCTTCCCCTCCCGCTTTGCTGTCTCTGGTCACACTCGTGGATTTGACGAGTGCTTTTGTAGCTCCATGCAGATCAGCTGTTGCCGCTCTCGTTGCCTGCTCTAGGTCTGGCGTCGGCGCCCCGGTGATCGGGGAGATTGACGGCGAATATCGCCACGACAGCCGGAGAAACCTCCTCGAGTGGTGCCTGCCCGTGATCGATGCCAAAAACAAGAGCGGCAGCCTGGAGTTCAGCATAGCAGGGCAGCCAAATGACTTCTTCCCGGTGCAAGTCTCCTTCCTCTCCAAAAAGAACTATTGCAACATACAGGTAGGGTTGCTGTGGGCTGCGTCGCTCTCGCCTCGCTGGAGCCGCAGAGGAGGTGCCCGGTGCTGAGCTCTGCTCTTTTCCCTGCAGGTTACCAAAGTGACCCAGGTAGATGGGAACAGCCCTGTAAGGTTTTCCACCGAGACCACCTTCCTGGTGGACAAGTACGAAATCCTGTAACGCCAGCCGAGGGGAGATTTTTAAATTAAAACACAAAAAAAAGAGGCCGAAGTTTATTCTGAATGTTGGGAACGCCGCAGCCCCCTCTCTGCTCCGACACGTGGCTCTGTCTGCAGTGTTCCTGGGTCACAGACGTTTTTGGCAGAGACCTGACGTGCTCGCAGGGGGAAAGGCTACAGATTTCTTTGGCAGATTTTTACCGGCCGGCAGAAAAGCACGATCTCCGCAGAGAACCCGGCTTTGACACGTCCCCCCTCTCCTGAAGAGGACCAGAGCTCAGTCCCAGAGCCGACCCCGCGCCGTTCTCTTCTCTTCTCTTCCTCCGAGGCGTCACGCACTGCTCCGCTGTTGGTGCTGCCGGTTTAGTTTCTCCTCGGCCTTCAGCTCTCGCTTCCCTGGATGAAAGCAGGCGTTGGGATCACGATAACGCGCAGGGGGGCGCCTGGCTTGGCCGGACCCCTCAGTCTGCTGAGAGCAGAGCAAGCCGGCCTCAGCTTGGCAGGTGGGGAGGAGGGACTGGGGCTCCGGGTCTCTGATGCCGCACGGTTACGCCATCCCTCCAGTCCTGCCGTGCAGCGCTGGCACCTGGGCTCATCCCAGAGCTGTGCTCCCCTCAGCACCCGCCTGTCCCCAGCTGCTGCCGCAGGTCCCGAGCGCGGATGGAAGGCAAACGCCCTAAAACCGTGTGCTGTGCTCCCGAGAGCCCCTCTGCGGGAGCGAGCGTGTCTCAGGTCCTGGGGTCCTCTGCCAAAGAACTCTGCAGCCTCTCCTCTGTCAGGAAAGAACCCCCGAGCCCTGCCCTGGGCGGGCGGCAGACCCTGTTCCCTAGCCACGTAGGCGACGAATCCTGGTAACTCGGTCGTGTTGGAGCGCTGCTTGTCCGTATGATTTTAAAATGAAGTCGAGGTTAGATCAAGCATCCAAGGAGCTTTTTTTTTTTTTGTTTCTTTAAATTTGTTGGAGGGTGATACTTAAACCGAGCCGAGATCCCCCCTTTTTGTAACCCTGTACTGTACTGGCCTAGGGTGTAGAGCACATTCCAGTGTACGCAGAGCATACCGCGTCGTTAATCAAATAAAGAGTATTGTCAAAGGAGCGGGCTCGGGGTCCTTCCAGAGCAGCCCCCCTGGCTGGCCCAGCCCCAATCCTGCCCCTCATCCCGGCGGGGGCGGGATGGGGCCGGCACTGAGGCGGAGACGCAGCTGCTTGGAGGGAGTAGAGGAGAGCGGAGCAGTGAAGGAGCCAGGGACGCTGGACCCGCAGAGTGAAGGTGATTGGGGATGAGGTTGGGGCACCGGGGATCTCATCCTCTGGGGCTGGGTGTGCCAGGCAGTGGGACCCCATGCGTGCCCTTGGGAAGCCTGTGGGGTGTCGCATGGGCACCCCCAACTGGCTGTGCTTTGGGGACAGCTTTGGGATGGGCAAGGGGCTTGGGGCCAGACATGGGAGGTGATGGGGTCCCCGTCTGCCTGCCTGGGGGCTCCAAGGAGGGGTGCAGGGAAGGAGCAGTGGGCAGGAGTGCAGGAAACACCTTCGACTGTAAAACCCGGCCTTGCACAACGCTCTGGGGTGCGTGGGTGGGCTGGCACCACTGCCCTCATCACTGATGAGTC